CACACACACACACACACACACACACACACACACACACACACAGAGGGTGCATCAAGCTTCTCATCTAATCCAACCTCCCATTCCTGCAAGCGAAATATACACTATAAGCTCAAGGACTGTTTGAGGCCGAGGCTGTGATCAACAGCACAGGCACAAACCCCTTCCCACAAGGAAAATCGCGAAACAAGTAAAACAGACAAAACACCAATTCCTAAGAAACGAAACTGTGAAATTTGTGTGAATGCTCCATACTGGCACAGTAGCAAAGGTGTTTAATAACTTCACAGAGTGCGCATCACATGCCTCGCCCAGTCTCTGTCACAAGTACCAACTCCGAACAAGAACACGATTCACGGTCTCTGTGAATCATGTTGATATATATTGTTACATCAACTTACATGCATAAATATTCACAGGGTTAGTGGCTGGGTAGCAGTGTACCCGCCTTGCAGAGCTCATCGATTGGATCCACAGTCCAATCGTTCACATCATCTAAAGGCGGCCAATAGTTTATCGAATCCTACATACATACATACATATCTGTATACAAAAGGAAAATAGTTCAAACTTCAAATCCTTTCAAATCCTTTGTATTTCCAAACTGCTCCGCTGGCAATCTCCCCTTTCCCCAAAAGCGAGTGCCATTGTTCCGCTGGCAATCTCCCCTTTCCCCAAAAAGCGAGTGACATTGTCGTACGGCGTACGTGCTACATGGGCAGGAACGGCGAGCGGGGCATTTCAATCGGTTGAATTGATGTTTGATGTTTGAACTTGGAAGTTAATCTCTTTACACGTCTTTACATGCCTTCGGTAGTCATTCTGAATAACACTTGAGCCAATTATGAAACTGGTTTGGAGAAAGCAGTTCAAAAGTTAAAAACGTAAAAACCATTGGCGCGTGGATTCTCGAGCGAATGGAGAATCATCGTAAAAGACTCGTAATAGAATGGCAAGCAGAGAGGACATATAACATATAACATCCGCCGACGAAAGAGCTGGCTAGCAGCACGGTGAAAACATGGGTTTTCGACAACCGACCGAACGTTACAGAAGGGATAAAAAAAAAAAAAAACGTTAAGGCGAGCGGGGCATAGCATTTAGCACTTCGCTATCCAACGGGAAGAACGTTTAAAAAACAATGTTGCGAGCGAGCGAGCGGCAGCGGACAGCAAGAGCATTATAGGTACAGCCTGTGAGCAACTGGCTATAGACGATATAGACGATATAGATTATATAGACCAAGCCAAAGAGTATAGCCCTCAAGTTAACAACCTGTACGACTATGAAACATCACAGACCTTGGACCATCTATTAAGGCGACAAAAGTGAGGGAATGACACTGCGGCACAGCTATGATAATGTAAACCAGACACAGTGTTTCCAACAAAAAAGATAGCATTTGCGAGCGGATAACGAGAGCGACAGATTGCTGCTGCTGCAAACCGAAAAGAAGTAATATAGACGAGAAAACAAGAAGCAATATAGATCAGAAAACGGGAAGCAATATATAGTAGACCAGAAAACAAGAAGCAGTATAGAGTCTATAGACCAGAAAACACGAACAACAGACAGGTGGCAACATAGGCAAGAAAACAAGAAGCAAATATATAGATCAGAAAACAAGAAGCAAATATATAGATCAGAAAACAAGAAGCAAATATATAGATCAGAAAACAAGAAGCAAATATATAGATCAGAAAACAAGAAGCGATATAGACGAGCTATTGTAACCCCGAGGAAGCATTCGAGAGACCGGGCGAGTCAGAGAACTAACTTGAAAAGAGTATTATGGAGCTCCAACAATATAGGCCAGGCCAGCACAGGATAGACAGACCAGAAGTCGAAGCCCACAAGACGAGAACAAACTGCAAAGGCGGTCCCACTGAATCCTGCACTTTTGCAACTACTACGCAGAGTCCTAGCTAGGTAAGGGGTTGCCAACATACCTCCTTACACCCCTTCCCCCCGCCCCCCCCCCGACGGCGCTCCTCCCCAAATCCCCCAGGCACTCCACCACTGCAACCCCCACCAAAAAAACACAAACAGTCAAACACTCCCACCCTTTCAAAATCAAAGAAAGCAAAGGCAGCGTCATCCACTCGCAGTCACAGTCCCAAATTTATGACTCAGGCAAAGAAAAAGGCAGTCTTGCTCCAGACTTTATCCTCCGTACGACCCATTCCAACATTCCGCTGTCGATAACCCGGTCACACCCCTCTTCGATGTTCGGTTTCCCAACACTCTGTTCCTCTCGAGGATCATCCGTACCAACAGCCCAAAAATACTGCCGTGCCCGGCATGCCGTCCAGCACCAAGGTAACGGATTTCTGTACAATTCGGTCTGCGGGACTGGTCACTGCCTCTCTTCCACCTCCGACCTCTGCCACCGAAAGCTGTGGTCCTAACGGAAAAACCGAAAAAGGGAAAGAATCCCAGAAACAATGGATGCTCTCTGCTTCAGCTCTGGTGCGTCCGCAGTGAAAGTGCCCTCCCCTCCTGCACCTTCCCTCCACTCCGACACAAGAGAACACTCCAACCATTACACACGCACAAAAAAAAAAAGAAGAACAACAAAAAGGTAGCTCATCAACTCTACCACCCATAGAAGACAGTGATAGATGTGTGCGCAGTGCCCTTTCCACTTCCATGTGCGCCGCCGCGTATAGGAATTGTCCCATATCGGTCTTCTCCCCAACAGCACCGGGACAAGGCATATCGGGCCCATAACACACACCAGAACAGTGATAGAAGTGAACGAACGGTTATTAAACCTTGAGATAAGATAAACATCAGCAATCCACTCACAACGACCCCAACGCCCACAAACACTCCACTCTGTCGAAGTGCGACACCGACAAAAACTCCACCGACCCCATCACTCACCTCCACTCTGTGGATGTGGCAGCATTGCGCATGCGCCAACACCCACAACCTCCACGAACCCCATCACTCACCTCCGCTCTGTGGACGCGCAACACCCACACAAACACTCCACCGGCCTCGATACCCACCTTCACTCTGTCGAATAATCGACACCCACACAAAAACCCCACCGACCTCATCACCTACCTCCACTGTCGAATTATTACCAACACCCACAAAAACTCCACCAACCTCAACACCCGCCCTCACTCTGTGGATTTGCAACACCCACACAAAAACTACACCGACCGCATATAACCCACCCCACCTCCACTCTGTTGATGTGCGACACCCACAAACTCCCACTCCCAATTTTGTTGCCAAACCACCAGTGAACTGGAACTCACCGTATATCCCCAAAAGCCAACCCGAGAGGCCACGTTAACAGGAATTTTAGGAGAGTCCATGCAGCTACATACAGCCTACAGACCGTCTAGGCGTGTGTCATGAAGGTATATACCCACTCTTTCGAGGAAGCGTATTCCAAACCAAATGCGGGCGACTGGTTTACGAGTAAACCACCCGAAGACCCCTCTTGCCACGACAAGAGAAAAAGGCAATCCCTCCTGCAAACCAAACAGGAGATCCAGGGCTGAAGGATAGGTGATAGGAGAGGGGCCAGATCCCAGGTGGTGATGCGCAGAACGAAAATCGAGCACGAATGCCAGCTGGTATGGCTTTGAGCTTTCAGATTCACAGCTTTGCTAGCCTTCTCCCGAAGCTAAGGCCTTGCCTCCGGAAGGGAACAGCCATCGATACCAGCTCAGTGCTGGCGATTCGGGAGCGTGAGCTCCTGGCCTTACGTCTGCATGCACAGGCAAAGGGGGAATACCTCCGATAGTCAAACCTCCGATGGTCAAACGCCAACAGCCCAGACTTCCCTTCTGAAGTCTATGGACTGCACGCCTCTCTTTTATGTTTGTGTTGCCGACCATAGACTTACTTCAGAACTCCTGGCATTGCAGCAAGTGAAAGATCGATAACACCCATAACCAGGATGCACACCCGGACATAGTGAGCGCATGAAACTCTACAAAATCACTTACGAGCAGCTTAGCGCACATGAAACACGAGAAGGGCGGATCTATATCTACCTTTTACGGCATGCTTGAAGATGGCGGGGGAAGGTACGCACCCGAGAATGCACCCTCTCTGTGCCCGGTTCTGCACTGCAAGAAGTTTGGCACGCCACATTGAAACTCGGGGGTCACCCCATCTCGAAATTGAAGCACCGTCGCCCTCTTTCAAGAGTCGAATCTTCGCGCCGTTGCTGCCAGCCGTCTTCCCGCAAAGACAAAGGCACCCTAATCATGAACGTATGTATGTAGTCCGTGAGTCCTCGGTCCCGTACTGTTTTATTCATGGGGCATTGTCTTGGGGGAAGTTGTGTGGCCTGAGGGCCAATAAAGCAAGGCAAAGTGTCTGGAAAAAAAAAAAAAAAACGGGGCATACGGGATCCTCTTTTAGGCGACCCGGGCCAAAAACCACACCCGGCCGTGGCCAATACCCGAGTCCTTCTTCCGCCCGCCCGCACCCAGCTCGGACCAGATTTCAAAACCGCACCTGTTCCAAGCCCATGGGGTGCAGAAGGGCCAGGCTGGGTTCCGCCGCGACCACCCGACCGCAGCTCTGGCACGACGACCACCACCAGCCGACATTAGGCGGCCTGCTCCATTCATCAGCACCATCTGCCCATATAGATTTGAAGCGAGACTCCAGCACCATATGCGGCAACCCACAACACAAGAAGTTCTAATAGAAAAGCATTGAACATGCAACACAGCCTCAGCCTCAGCCTCAACAAAGGAAACACCCATGATCTTGCCTGCAAGAGGCTGGCGACACGGCAGACATTCACTGCAAAGTTGTGCGAACACGATACAAGCAGTTCTAATAGGAATGCATTGAGCGTGCAGGAGCGTTGACATAAGAGACCTAACCAGGAGGAAACGGGAGAAGGAAGGGGGACTTCCCGGAAAACGGGAGAAAGAAGGGAAGGTGTTTAGCGTCCGTTCGTGATAAAAGCACGCAAGCACGCATGCATACACAGAAGCACAAGTGATGATGGGTTATCGCCAGTCGCAACACCCAGAATCCTTGCGCGAACCACGCCGGTGTCACACTAACACAGGAGGAATGTAGTGTGGGCATCGTGCCTCGGCAAACGATTGACACTGAGGGGAAAGCTATGTACAAAACTCGGAGAAGTCTTCAGCGACTATTTCTCCTTACGACGACTATTCACTGCACACTCGAAATCGATAAAATTTTGATCAACATATCAGAAGAATCTGCGACTGCAAGAATACGATGTTCTGTGCCCTGACAAGAGATTTTGTGAGCAAGACCTGGCCGTATCTGGCCATCCTGAGATGGCCCGATGCTGCCTACTTGTGTGCATCGCACCTGGCCCGCTGCGTTCCATACAGACACACTAAGAGGAGACTCCAAGGCCCGAGCCCTTCGTGTCTATCCTCCCCCTCCCTACCTGCCACAGGGCAGTGAAAATCACATTCACTTAAACCGTCAGTACACGGCCCCAGCCTTGTGGAAAAAACTCTCATCGCCTACAAAAATTACGGAGGCTCGGGGCTATGGACCACCATGGCTGGCAGCACCAGCGACAAATGAAAAAAGTGCACCGCTGGCAGTTCGACAAAGCTTGGCACCCAGTGGAAGAAGGCCGTCTGCAAGCACACGACCATATGTGCTGCTGCTGCTGCTGCTGCTGCTGCTGCTGCTGCAAAGAGAGGCAATCATATGTCACAAAAGATAAGCAGCGCATGCAAGAAATTATATGCTGCTTTTTCACTCGCCTGTATCCAGTCTATTACCTAGAGGTCTGTACATCTAACCGCACTAGGAAAAACAACAGGAGCATGCTACAGAGAACCAGCGGTTACAAAGAGCCTGGTGACCACACAAGGGGGATAGCCTGGTGACCACACAAGGGGATAGCCTGGTGACCACACAAGGGGGTCTGTCTATACATGGCATGGAGTCGGTACAAATGGGGTACTAGGAAACAAGTCGCATGTACAGAATGATGACAGTCACAGCCTCAACAGATACAATGTATATCCCGTATATATAAATGTAAGCAATACATACATATATATATCGTCACAAACAGAACTGCCCGGTAAACCGTAGGCAGAGAGAGAGAAGAGGACAACAAACGAGGGGCTGTGACAAACTGTTTCGTCGGAGTTTCACCGACTCATATATGTATATATATGTGTGTCTGTCTGTAGAATATAGGATATGCAGGCAAATCATGGTAGGACAAAGAAGAACATGGTTGGCATAAAATGCTGGCAAGCAGCACAAGACATGGCAGAAAGGGGCTGGAGGTTGGATGGAGGTATGAAAGGCGAGGAGGATTTGTGCACCAGTGGGATGTCGACTCCTGTCGGCGAATAGACTTAACACCCTGAGCTGATCACCAACAATGCGAGGGACCCGGTGTGAACTTTGGTGGCTGTCTCATTTGCCCTGGCAATGCTGGCTATCGTAGAGCCGTCGACCGACTTCCCACTGTGGATCAATGGTTGCTAACGGACGAAGCAGTCGCTCTCTTTACTACGCAGTCATTATTGCAGTCTTTCAGACAACCAGATGAACCTCAAAAGCCAGTGGGTTTATCCTCCACGGTCCTTGTCGCCACCTGACCAAACGCACACAAGATCCACAGACATCATACGGCTGAGCGACATTCTACACCACAACCCCACCCTCCTCTCCTCTCCTCTCTCTCTCCTCTCTCTCTCTCCAACTTCCAGGACAGATACACTCCCCTGATAGGTCCCTACTGGGCCCAATATGACCATCTCTCCTCTCCACAACCCCTCTCCTCCACCCTCCTGTCCCCTGAATTTGTTTCCCACAAATAATAGGAGTCACACATAAGGGTCAACATTTGGAACATTGAACATTGCCATGTTCTGAATAGCATATCAGAGACACATAAATGGCATGTACTGAATAGCATACCAGAGGAACATAAAAGGCATGTACTGAATAGCATATCAGTGAAAAAACATAAAAGGCATGTACTCGATAGCATATCAGAGACTCGTAAAAGCGACACCGATAAATCATCCGTCAAGTTTCTGTTATTAACATCCTGTCCCTAGTATGATCCTGCAGAGCTTCACAAACTGCTGAGCGATCTGCAAAGGACGAGCGAGCGGCATCATCAGTTGTGTCGTTTGACACTGACACTCAAACCACCACCTGCCGGTCCAGATCAAGATTTGATCACTCACAGTCACAATGCTGCAAATTCACTCATCCTGCACTACCAGCTTGCATATGATGCAGTGAGCCTGCGAAATAAATGCTAATTAGTGAATTACAGATGAGAGAAAAATCGATGAGCAAAGGGAAGAGAAACAAGCATGGAGGCATGGAGAGTAGTGCATTTGAAGAGAGGAACACGGATGTCGCAAGATAACAACTCTCCATTCACGAGCTCCAGGTGCTACTTCTGTCAAAGAGGCAGATAAGGCAATACAGCTCCAGCCCATTTGCACTCTGAGAAGAATCCACACTGTTTTATGACGACACGCCAACTGATTCACAGCCAAGCACAAAAGAGACAAGAGGGCGACCTGAAGAGCAGTGTGTGTCATCAGATTCGCTGCACATAATTCCCCAAAGAAAGTATATGACCGCGCCTGACTGTTTCCTCGCACCAACTCGTCAGGAGGTTTGTGCGTGTGTGTTGTCATGTCTGTTATACACAACGTCACAAGAGAAGTATATCCATGCTTCACTGTTTTGTCAGACATTCACCGACTCATTAGGTAGTTGAACCCCGACAGTCCGCGCAGGATGCAGGTGGGTGATAAATAAGGACTCACCAGGTCGCCCAGAGTTAGTGATACCACTACCAATGTCCT